TTTACTTCCTATGTCGACAGCAACTATGAGTTTAAAAATTATTTCTCAGTACTTATTCACTGTTAAAATGCTGTACCGTTACTTTCACCATCCTACTACAGCCAGATCTGAAGGCCTTTGCCGCATTCTGGCCATGCTGTGTGGCGCGTATCGCGTGGACGGGTTTCACGTTCTCTGCACGTAATAAGCTCGGTTATTAAGCATCCTTTTTTGGGAATGCCCGGTGGCCGAGGGGAAGACGTGTAGTGGCGTGAAGCTAGGCGATTAGGTGCCGTACGCGAGCGCCGGTTCGAGTCACGCACGCAGTACGTATTTACTATAATTAGACATAGTCTTTACCTTGCCGTTTATTCGGTGTTATTTGCTTACTATCTTTCAAATAGCCTTTTAATCAGTCAAACCCAAACACCTGCGGGTCTTAACCAAGGTTTCCCCTAAAGTCGCATTCATGAGTGAATCACAGCCAGTGGAATAGGCCTTCCCATTGAGTCTGTGGCACACTCACCCAGGGTAGGGGTTGACCCTTTTGATGTTCAGTCTAAGGTAGGATTTGACCTTGGGTCTACTGGCCATGAGTCTGATGCAACAACCACAAGGCTACCAGTGACCGGTTAATGAAACAAACATGATATATCAAATGTGGCGAATAAACAGATTGAAAATTGAGAGAGAGAGAGAGATTAATGTATTTAATTGTACAAGAAGGGCGCACTGGCACAGTTTTCCAATGTACATGTACCAGTATTTTTACTTTATATTTTTTTTCATTTATTTATTTGATGCTTTTTTATTTCCAAGATAAATCACCATTCACAGAACCAAAATAATTGAGGGATCTGTGGGTTTTTTTTACTGTGGACCACTTGTATAATAATATGAGCTAAATAATTATTGTTCTTACCATTCGGTCAAGATTTTAAAAATAAACAATTACATTGATAAGTAATGTGCAATATGTAAAAAATAAAATGCTTTAGCGGTTTTCTTTTTCTTTTGTATCTATTCTGCCAAATAAAATATATCTACATACTATTAATTTAATAGCACAATTGCTGATTTGTGACCTGTCCTGGATGAAATTATGCAAATATGGATGATATCACTGATTCCATTACGTGAATGCAACCAAGACCTTACAGACTCAAAGCAACTAGGTGACGTGTGTAAATTATGTAGTTGATATGCATAAACTGATACCAGATTTTTATTTACATTAACACCAATTGTGAACAAAATTCAATGTCAAACTGTAGCACATATGCACAGAATGTACTAAAACTGGTAATTTCTTATGCAAATTGACTAATTAAAAACCATGGATTTGTTTCAATATCTAATCAGGTCTTGAGTTACAATGTATCTGTGTGCCAAATTGCATTCACTTCACTCAGTGGTTAGTATTCTCACCCTTGGGAATATTTTTCTTTTTTGCTACTCAAAATGTACATGTACCAAGTCAAAAGCCAACAAAGGCTTGTACTTGTGAACTATGATTGGAATAAACAAATAACCAATCTGCTTAGGAGGAACTAGTGTGTACTGAGAATATTGGAGAAATAGACAAGTCATTGAAAATGACACAGTCCCCATTAAATTTTT